TTGATTCCATTAAAATAATTTATAAAATAGTTCAAATATCATCAAGTCAAATAAAAATCCTGTAGAAAACAGGAAAGTTCTTCTTACAATTGCATCGAAATAAACCGTTTTATTCTGTTTTTCTATGTGATTTCTAAACTTCTTACCCAGCATCATTTTCTGTATGAAACTCTGCTTGTGTTTTCTTTTTCAAGCTTTCTCCACTATCGAATATATACTCTCTATTGCAGCTTTCAATTTACTATGCTTTTTTCATTGCATTAATATCGATTAGACAATAAGTTTTATTTTTTCTGATATCATAGTAAAATATTTATGCGCTGTGTGTATAAATGCGAACATAAATTTCCACGAATGATAATTCATCCGTTTACTTGTAAGATTATTGTCGGATAGAAAAAATCTTCCCATAATAGCAGATGCTAGAATGAAGAAGAATTTTCTTCAGATCAATTGCGATCTCTTGAAGTCCCCTGTTGTCCATCGTTCCCCTTTGAGAAAAATAGATTATAAAGATACCTACTAAATGTCTTAGTCAAGAACGACATTTTTTGACGTCGCTTCCAATCGATAGTCCTCTTGGTGATAAATAAACTTACCATTCACGATTCTACGACTTAGAATAACGGACTAAATTAGTCTTGAGAAAATTTAGCATTCTCTTTAAGATTCCCTCAATTTCAATAAAGACTTGAAGCCGTCTGAGGAGATTCGTTGAGCTCGATCAAAATGGGTCGCGGCGCTTTATAGTCATTCACATATGAAGAATCTGATTGTTGAGATGCAATTGCGAGATGAAGATTGTAACCAAGCACCGTCAAGATGCTCTTCTAGCTTTATTATGATGCTGACGCCCTCAAATAATATTTATTGAATGATGAAACTTGCTCTGCACATCGCCAGGCAATCTAGACATGCTGCAACGAATACTGTCGAGGTTTCGGGTACAAATGGAAAACATCGTGTATACGTCAAAATTAGGATTTTTCTTCGAACAAGTGAAGCGGCGTCAACGCCTTGTCACATAGCATCAGTCAACGTGATGAAAATAAGGTTTTTCATGCGTATTACTTGTCGCATTCTGACGTTTCAAGATTTCTCAACAAATTCATTCTCAAAAAAAAGGTAGGTGAACAACAGGAAAGAAAAAAGAGAAAACTGTTCGAGCGCAAAGCATATACGAAGAATATATTTTCTCGATATGTAAAAAGAGGAAATCTCACAGAATCATCATTTTTTTCGCGATGGCAGACCTTAGTACAGCTCTACTTATTACACGATGATTCAATTATACCATGTCAATACCACTGATCGTTTTGGGTATCGTCGGAGCCATTTTAAACATTCTGATATTTACAAGAAAGAAAAGCTTTTGGCGTAATCCGAGTATCAATTATCTTCTGGCTGGTGCAGTGTTGACTGCAATACATTTGCCGGCAATTTATATACAAAGTATTCTTGTGAACGGTTTCGGCTTGGGTCTCTACAATTCGGGTAGAGCTCCTTGTGCCGAACACAATTATCTGATGTACACAACAACTGTTTCGGCCATTTCGTTTCCCTGTTGGGCAGCTTTCGATCAATATGCGGCGACATCTCGAAATGCCACCTTTCGCAATCGCTGGAGCTCGATCCGACTCGTTCGCATAGCAATTTGTTGTACGGTGGCATTTTGGGCTATAATCTACATACCAGTAATCTTTACAAGTGAGATTATCAATGGTGGTTGTGGAGTGGTGCGCGGACCATATGGACTTTTCATTAATTATATATTAACACCGTTGGTCTTCGCTATCTGTCCTTTGCTAGTAATCTCCATTTTCACGGTGGGCACTATCCGAAATCTTCGCGGCTCTGTTGCTCAAGGCTCCCAAGAGCAGTTGGCCCAACAAGTTCGTCGTATGCTCTTTCCTCAACTAGTTATATTGGCTGTTTCGGGTGTTCCGTTCGGTTTTCAAGGCATCTACTTGGATTTAACCAGGGATGTTGAGAAGGACACGCTTCGTCTCAGTATAGAATACGTCGCCGGGCAAGTCATTCTTCTCTTGTATCACTCCAATTATCTGTGTACATTTTACATTTACTGGTACATGTCCAACGAGGTCAGGAAAAGTGCCAAGCAACTCTTCATGCAATGGTTTTTTCAGAGAAGTGCGGTCAAACCTGCTGATCACACGACGGGAAATTCCATTTCACTGCAACCACTCAAGTCGGCACCACGTTCCTTTGAAGTTTCGAAAGGAACACTGACCGCTTGAAGCCTCGAGAAAGACAACGGAAAAACATGATTGAAGAAGAATGACTGAACCTTATATTCTCGATCTGTATCCACTCACTTGGCCTTCTTTCAATGTCGTCCCATGATTCAATGCTCATATGCGCTTGTGCTTCGTCATTGTAGTGCTTCTTTGCATTTCATTCTGCAGCTTTCCTTCTCTTCAATCCTTGAAATGCAATAATAAATATAGAATGCTCATAGTTTCATTGATGACAAGCCATCAGTCTTCATGATAGAATTGCATATTGTTGACAATTATTATTATCATTCGCATCATTCTTAAGATTAGATGAGTCGAGCAAACTACGACCGGTTTCGTTCTTGCTTTAGGGACTCTTCGGGTAGATTTGACTTTCATAACTATCCAAACAAAATGTAGAGCTAATTCCTCAAGCCGTTTCGTGTTATTTCTTAGACTGTAGGAAGGGTGTGGGTGTGGGTGTGGGTGGATGTGGAGTGTAGATGTGGGTTTCAGTGTTATTCTTCTTTTCACACATTCACACCCACACCCTTCTTGGGTCCCTAGAGTTCTGCCAGATCCGTGAGTTGCTAAAGTTCCTTGTGTTCAGAATTCATGGCATCCAAATTTATTGCCCTTCACGGTTTTGTTGCAAATGATTATTAGTAGATATCATGAGTTTTCTTGTGAAAGAAAAGAAAGTGTTCTTTTCTTGTTATTTTACTCTTCACTTATATGAACAACTTAGTTAAAACAAAATCAACCTTGTACAAAAAAAAAGTATAGGCATAACTTATGTTCTTTTCAATTTCTTCTGTTGTTGTTCTTGTATATATATCGATGCTTTTGTAAATTTGTTCATCATTTGTTCATCATTTTTATCCATTTCACGTTCACATGCGTTTTCAACACAAGGTCGGATAATGCTTTCTTTAAGATATTCTTTCAATGCATATGTGGTTTTCGAACTTTTTCTCGCATCATTCGGTGTTTTACTTAATTGATCAACAAATGTAAGCATAGTCTGTTCTAATAAATGATTATCAGTTCGTTTTCTTTGAATTTCTCTTTGTAAATTATTTCGTTGATTTTGTATTGTACCAAATGTGACATTACGAGAATTGAATATATGACAATAGTCGGTAATGATTCGAGGACTATTTGTTATTTGTTTATATTCATTAATAAACTTTTGTTCAAATTCAATAGCAGGACGCAGTAATTGACAAATTTTTGTATTTAATTTATGTTTATTTTGTTCAAA